TGCTGTCTGTACCGAGGCCGCCACCGGTGCCCCCCCTGTCCACGTTCCCCCGGGACCCGGTGTCTGGCCTGTTCACTCTGGACACCGTGACCCCCCCGGCTGGGGCGCTCCCTCAGGTGGCTGCGTCTACTCAGGTTGCTGCTGCCTGCTCCTGTCGGTCCCTCACTCACCCGACGCTCCTCTGGCACCACCGCCTAGGTCACCCTGCGCTCCCGCGTCTGCGTCACATGTCCCAGCACGGTCTTGTCCTTGGTCTCCCAGGTTCTCTCCCCGTGTTTCCCTCCTCCCCAGCCCCCCCTTGCACGCCTTGTGTCGAGGGTCGACTTCGCTGTACCCCTCACTCCTCCTCGTTTCCCCCTACCTCCGCGCCGCTGCAGACCCTGCACCTGGACGTCTGGGGCCCCGCCCCTGTCCCTGGGCCGCGTCGAGAGCGCTACTTCCTTGTGCTCGTCGACGACTTCACTCGTTACACCACAGTCTTTCCCCTGGAGCGCAAGGCCGACGTGCCTGGCGCTCTCATCCCCTGGCTTGTCTCTGCGCATGTCCACCGCGGTCTCCCTGTCCTGTGTCTTCACTCAGACCGTGGTGGCGAGTTTGCCTCAGGTGTCCTTGGTCGCTTCTGTCGTGCGTAGGGCATCACCCAGACGTTCACCCTACCAGACTCCCCACAGCAGAATGGGGTCGCTGAGCGAGGCATCGGTTTGGTCATGGAGGTGGCTCGCACCTCCATGATCCATGCCGGTGCACCCCATTTTCTGTGGCCGTTCGCTGTGCGCTACGCTTCTCACCAGCTTAACTTGTGGCCGCACCCTCAGCAGTTGCAGGTTTCGCCGACCCGTCTTTGGACTGGGTCTCCTGGTGACGCGTCTGCGTTCCACGTCTGGGGCTGCCTTGCTCACGTCCGTGCCTCCGGCACGGACAAGCTCACTGCCCGCACCCTTCCCTGCGTCTTCCTCGGTTTTCCCCTTGACGCGTCCGACTGGCACTTTTACCACCCGCCGTCGCACCGCTTCTTTCACTCTCGTGACGTCACCTTTGACGAGTCCGTCTCCTACTACCGTCGCTTCCCCCACCGTGGTCCCCCGGTTACCCCCCCCCTGTTCCTGGTCACTCCTTCCCCGGTAGTCCCTACCCCTCCTCCTCCTCCTCCCCGTCCCGCCCCCTCTGGTGTGTCCCACGTCACCCCCCTTCCGTCGGTGGACCCGGCTGGGGAGTCTTCTGACTCTGGTGGCCCTCCTGTGCAGTCCTCGCCGGCCGCCCCTCCCCTGGCGTCCCCTTCCCAGTCCCCTCCTCCACCGCCTTTGCCGCCGCTGCAGCCGTCGTTGTCGCTGCCGCCGCCGCCGCCGCCGCCGCCACCGCCGCCGCCGCCGTCGCAGCACCCGTTCGCTGACTCTGGGGTGCTCGTCCCGGTCGCCCTGAGGGTGGTCCCTCTGGGGGTGCGGGTGTGGAGCGTGCCGGTGGTAGCCGAGGAGCAGCTTGCGGTCCAGGTGTTGCCGTTGTGCCGCCGCAGCAGCAGTCCCCACCGGTGTCCGCCCTTTCGCCTGCTCGGCCTTCCGTCCCCCGACCCTGCGTCGGTTCCTCCCCGACTGTCTCCTCCTCTTCCTGTCTACGGCCCTGTTTTCCCTCCGCCGGACTCGTCCCCGGCCCGTCTCCCCCTTGTTCCCCTCCTCTGTCCCCTCCCCTGTCTCCTGACCCGACTCCTCCGTCCCACGTCTGGTCTCACCGTCCCTCCCGTGCTCGTCCTGCCTCGCCTGTCTTGTGCTCCCACCCTATGTTGCTTCGTTCCCACGCGTCTCGTCCTCCCCTTCTCCCGTCGCCTCCTCCGTTCTCCCTTGTTGTTGCGCCCCCCCCCGCTGTCCGACTACCTCCGTGGCGCTCGTCCCTCGTTCCTCGGGTCCTTGCCTCTCTCGTTACCGACCCGTCTGTTCCGGTCTCCTGCCCTTGACGCTCTTGTCGCTGACTTCGCCTCTACCCGCCGCCTTGACTACGCCACCGCTCTGGTCTCTGACCCTGCCTGTCCTCCGTCTGTCGGGGTGCTCCTGCCCTTGGCAGTGACGTCCTGGAGGACCGCCAGTTCGAGCTTGCTTTCCTCTCCGAGGCTGCTCCCCATCTCTGTTCCATGCTGGCTAGTCCCTGAGGGTGACCCAGACGCTTTCGACATCCCGACCCCTCGCACTTACGCTGAGGCGACCTCGGGACCCTGGGCCTCACAGTGGATAGCTGCCATGGAGCAGGAGATGGCATCTTGGAGATCCACCGGCACCTTCGTCGACGCAGCTCCCCACCTGGGGTGAACGTAGTCAATGGCCGCTGGCTCTTCAAGGTGAAGCGCCCTCCTGGAGAGCCGCCGGTCTTCAAGGCGCGCTATGTGGCTAGAGGCTTCAGTCAGCGCGAGGGGGTGGACTTCTTCCAGACCTTCGCTCCGACCCCGAAGATGACTACTCTTCGGGTTCTGTTACACCTAGCGGCTCAGCGTGACTACGAGCTTTCACTCCCTCGACTTCTCCACTGCCTTCCTTCAGGGCAGCCTACACGAGCAGGTCTATCTGCGTCGCCCTCCGGGCTTTACTGGCACCTTCCCTCCTGGTACCCAGTGGCTCCTGCGGCGCCCCGTCTACGGCCTGCGCCAGGCTCCTCGTGAGTGGCACGACACTCTTCGTGCTACCCTTGCTGACCTGCAGTTCTTTCGTCTTCCGCAGACCCTTCACTCTTCGTTCGTGCTGGCCAGACTCCGTTCTATATCCTTGGTTTACGTCGACGACCTGGTCTTTGCCACAGCAGACAGGGACGCACTGGCCTCCGTGAAGGCAGAGCTTCTGAAGAGACACACCTTGTACTGACCTTGGAGAACTGCGCGTTACCTTGGCTTGCAGATCTCCAGGGATAGAGCTGCGCGCACCATCACCCTGACTCAGTCACACTTGGTGCGCCAGGTCCTTCAGAGGTTCAGCTTCAGTTCTCCTCTGCACAGCCCACCTCTCTGCCTGTAGACCACAGACTCTCCGCTCCAGTGTCTGAGGAGTTGGTAGAGCCAGCGGCCCCTACGCAGAGCTGGTGGGTTGCCTCATGTACCTGATGACTTGCACTCGCCCAGATCTCGCATACCCTCTCAGCATCCTGGCTCGCTTTGTGGCCACAGGCAGACACCGACCGCAGCACTGGTCTGCCGCTAAGAGGGTTCTGCGTTATCTTGCTAGTACATCGGGCATGGGGTTAGTGCTAGGAGGACGCAGGCCAGTGGTCCTTACTGGACACACAGACGCTTCGTGGGCAGACGACGCTGAGACACTCAGGTCTACCCAGGGCTACTGCTTCAGCCTTGGCTCAGGTGCCGTCTCGTGGAGAGCTACTCGCTCCTCGTGTTGCGCAGTCCAGCTGTGAGGCTGAGATCTACGCTGGTGCCATGGCGGCACAGGAGCTCCGCTGGCTGACCTTCTTGCTCACTGACTTAGGTGAGCGGCCTAGCTCTGCCCCGGTCCTGTTCGCTGACAACAGGGCCATGATCCTCCTGTGTCAGGAGCCTCGACTCGAGGGCAGAGCGAAGCACATTCAGCTGCGGTACTTCCTCCTGCGTGAGCTACAGCAGCGACGTCAGGCTCGCGTAGTACACTTGGCCTCAGGTGCCAACACGGCTGATATCTTTACGAAGGCGCTTGCGCCTAAAGATCATCAGCGGCACTGTGTACAGCTTGGTCTAGTTCCTGTAGCCTCTCACTTGCTAGGACCTTGACTTTGTACTGTCCTTTATGTATACTCAGACTGGACTTGTGTCCTCTCGCAGTGGCTGGACTAGTTAGTGCCGCCCTGCCCTTGTTCTTGCCTTGTTTGTACTCCTTCTAACTGGTCTCTTAGACCCTTGTCTCAGAGGTTGGACTAGTAGTGCCGCCCTGAGCTGTTTGTTTAGGGCATTCCCCTATGCAGTCTAGGGGGTGTGTCAAACATGTGTATTTGTCATGTTTGTATAGACTGTATAGGGTCGCTTCTTAGAGAGTACAACACTTAGGTATATCTTTGTGTACTCTCACTCTATCCATCATTTCAATTTTCAATTCTGATAATTTGTGTGTGTCTAAAAGATTTCTCAAGTCATTCTAAGGACACACAAGGTCTAAAGGCAGTCTCTCCTTACTCAACTAGAGAGCTGAATAGCTCTGTCTGCATATTGCACTTCTGTAGAAGCTCCCATTATAGCAAAACATTCTGCATGTTCTTGATGTCTTTTCTTCTGTATTGCATGTGGGGGTGTTAAAAGGTATATCATGAGCTAACCTTTGGGCATGTCAGGGTTGGCAAACTAGGGTTATCAGAGTGCATGAGGTACTAGAGATTGAATATCAATATTAGGGGGTGTCCGAAGTAGAGCGTAGGGTCTCGGGACGTCGCAGAACCGACAGTTTATGCTCCCTAACCATTCTAAAACCAATGAATACCGTGCTGTACCTTCATGTGACGTCTCGGGACGTCACAATTTGTTTTACTTCGGACACCCGTGGTGTGGTGGCTCCTGAAATGGCTTTAGGGAGCTTGGATTTAGCAATGTGTTTTTTGGGCTTGTGAAGTGGGACTAACAAGGAACATGTTTGCCCGGGTTTGTCGCATCCTCGTCGCATGTCAAATGTGGCATTCGTTCAAATGTGTCATGAAAAAAAACATGGTCCGAGGCTCGCCGAAGAGTCGTGAGCTAGCAAGTTTCCAAATTTGCTTGCACCAAAATATTATGTGTTCTCATATTTTTTTAGTCTTGCCACACTTCTGGACCTAAATGCATGACATTGCAACACTTTCAGGGGTTGGCTTATATAGATGTCCTCGCTACCTCTAACTAATATCCAACGAAAACGGGACTTTTGTTCTGGCGCCTCGACTTTTGTTCTGTGGGAATGGTAGAAATGCTCTGCTTTTAGGGGGTAAAATTATGGCGTATTGGGTGTAGTTGACTTCCAGCAAAGTGGACCAACTTAGGGTTTCTTTGCTCGGACGACTTACCTCGAGACTATTCTAGCTAGGAAAGCCACACCAGGTTTGTAGAGAGGTCTTGATTTCAGCAATTTTATTTTCTATTAACTGATTCGTTTTTCGCCTTTGGCATCGTGCGTGCGATGCGGGAATCAGTGGCATCAGTGGCAGCAGTGGAGTGGGTGGAGGACGAGTGGTGTGCAGCACCGGGCGAGTCATCCCCGTCAGTCGCCGCCCCTGCACCCGCCACTTCGCCGCGTTCCACCAACGGCCCGCCCAAGCGACTCAACTCTCTCGCTTCCTCGTTTCTTCCCGCCGCCATCTTCGCGCGCACCTCGCCGCCTGCAGCCGCGCGCCTCCTCGCCCGTGCGGCTCCGGCGGATGGCGGTGACGATGACGGCGAGGAGTGCGACGGTGAGGGCGGGCGGTACGCGGCGTGGGAGGAGGACGGGGAGGGAGGGGAGGAGGGGGGCGAGAGGCATGGCGGGTTCGCGGAAGGCGGCGTGGGGTCGGCGCTGCTTTCGTGGGGTCGGAATCTCTTCCACCGCCCTCCGCCCGCTTCTCTCTCGCCGCCCTCCACGCTGCTCCAGCCGCTCGCGCCTGTCGACCCGCGGGTTCCCTCTGCCTTCCGCCACCATGCCGCCACCACCACCGTCGGCGGCAGCACCAGCAGCGGCGCGGACGCCGCCCAATCTCTCGCCGGCAAGCTCTGGGGGGTGTTGGCTCCGCGCTCGACGCACGCGCAACTGCTCGGTGACGTCAGTGGCTGTGGTGCCAACGGCATCACGCCTCACCACAGTTTACGGGGAGCAGCGCGCCAAGCTGCGCCGGACGGTGCCCGCAGCACGGCGACGGGGGGGCTGCGGTCGAGTCTGCGCGCTCTGCTCCCGCGCAAGCTTTCAGCGCGCCAGGAGGAGTCAGGGGGAGGGGCAACTGGTCCGCAGTGGGGGGAGCGGTGAGCTCGCTGGGCGGGCTGGGCAGCAGGGAGGGGGCGGGGAGGACGGGGTCCGGTGGTAGCGATGGTGAAGGGGGTGGGGCGGGGAGAGGCTCCGGTGATGGCGGCGGGGCGCATGGGGATGGGCGTGGGGGGGCGGGGGGCGGGCACAGGTGGAGGCAGAAGGTGATGGAGGTGCTGCCGGTGCTGGCCGTGGTGACGCTCATGGTCTTCGGCACCGTCGCTTACCTCACCGTCGTCGACGCCAGTAAGCCCCCTCCCAACCCCGCGCCCTCGCCCCTCGCCCCGTTGTCGTTGTCGGTGCTGCCATGTCGCTCTGCTCGCTGCCCCATCCCCGTGCTCGCGCCCTACCCCATCCATTGCCTTCTCCCCGCCCTGCTCCTTCCGTGTCCCTGCCTTGCGTTCCACAATCCCTACCCTTCTTCTTTCAGCCGCTTCCTCTTCCCTCCTCACCTTTCTACCCCTCCCGTCCCCGCCCTCCCCACCCCTCATCCACTTCACGCTTTTTCCGCGTGCGCGCTGCCAGTCCTGCCTCGCCTGCGCCCTGCCTTCTCCCTCTCCTGCCCGCTGGACCGTGGCCGCTGGGCGCTCTCCTCGCGCCGCCCGCTCTACCCGCCCTCCTGCCCCTTCCTCAGGGACGACTTCAACTGCGCCAAGTTCGGCCTATCAGCGCCTGACACGTGGCGCTGGGAGCCGTCCCCAGTGCCAGGTGGCGGAGTTCTCGGCGGAGGCGTGGCTGCAGGGCATGGCGGGGCGGCGCGTGGCGTATGTGGGCGACAAGGCGGTGGCGAACGCGTTTGACTCCATGCTCTGCATGCTCGCCCAGGCCGACACCCCCACCGCCCTCCCCGACGCCTCTCCCCGCCGCACACTCCTTGCACCCAGCGAGCCCCCCACGACTCGCACTGACGCATCCAAGGGAAGAGGCGGCGGTGGTGAGACGAGCCCTCGACAGGCTGTTAGTGGCGGCAGGCAGGGTGAGAGCGTCCGGGCTGCTGCAGATGGCCGTGTGTTCATTGGTGCGCTAGATGCCCCCCCCTCCGCCCTCCATGCCCCCCATGCCGCCCTGGATGCCCCCTTGGCCGCCCGTGCTGCCTCCATGGTGCAGACCGGGGTCAGGGGCAGCGAGGGCGCAGGCAGTGATGTGAGGCGTGGTGGTGGGAGGCACAAGAAGGCCGGGTGGGGCTGGAACCCAATCAGGTGGGGCGGGTGGAGGAGGGCGAGCAGTGCGCAGCAGCACGTGGGAGCCGCAGATGCTGGCACTGGCGACGCAAGCAGTGCAAGCGGCTCCACAGACCACACCTCCACACCTCCTGCTGCTGCATATTCCGCCTCCTTTGCACTGTTTGACATGCAGCCGCTGCTGTACGTTTTCCCCCGGCACAACGTCACTCTTGCCTTCCTGCCCTCGCCCTTCCTGGTCAAGGCCTCCCTCCTCTCGCCAGTCAACGCCACCCTCTGTCAGCTGCAGCGGGCAGCCGCAGCCACTGCACTCAACACCTCCGCTGCCAACAGCAGCAGCAGCAGCAGCATTGGTGGATCCACCAGCCAAGCGCCAGAGCATGCAGAGGGCGCGTCCCCAGCTGGGTCAAGCGGCGGGGGGGAGGGCGTGGTGCGCGATGCGTGCTACCCGAACCGCATCCACGTGGACGAGCCCGACCCGGCGTGGGCGCAGCAGGCGGCGCTGTTTGATGCGGTGGTGCTGGCGTCGGGGCGCAGCTGGACGGAGGACGCCGTGGAGACGCACGGGCTGAGTGTGGTGGTGGGGGGCGTGCGGCAGAGCAACCTGAGCGTGGAGGGGCTGGTGGGGCAGTGGGCGTACCCCCTCGCCATGGCCGCCGTCACCTCCTGGCTCGCCAACGCCTCGCACTTCAACGGCACCGCTGTCTTCCGCTCCTTCAGCCCCACGCACCCCCGCAAGCAGTGCGCCGCCCGCATGCTCCTCCCCGATGCTGTGAGTCACAACCCCTCCCTTGCAACCGGATGCTGCTTGCCCTGTGCTTGTTGAACTGTGAATTGCTCCACATCTTCCACACGACTGATCCCCTCCACCCAGACCCTAGCCCATCGCGTCCCATCTTCCCCCCCGCCTGCACCCATCCTAGGAGCATGCATCGGAGGTGATGGAGGAGGCGCGGCGGTATGACGATGCCGTGGCACGTGCCATTGGGGTGGCAGCAGGGGCTCGCGGCTCCAGTAGCAGCACGGCAGCAGGTGGAGCAGCAGCAGGCGGGGTGGCAGGGAGGGCGCTCCCCCGCCTGCACTTGATGAACGTGTCGCTGCTGACAGCGCAGCGCGCCGACGCCCACCCCTGGATGGCGTCACCCGTGCGCCCCAAGGCGGACTGCACGGACTGGTGCCTGCCGGGCGTGCCTGACACGTGGAATGAGCTGCTGGCCGCCACGCTGCTCAAGCTGCTCCAGCGATAGTGATGCCACACGTACAGAGTGATGCCAAGTGTGTTTGGTGTGTAGTTTGTAAAAACACCCGCTACCTTGCGACTCTGATAGTGCCATTATTACCAAATCGTGTTGCATTATGGACAGACCCGGGGTTAGGGTCATGACCTCTTCATGAGCCATGCGGTATTATGCACCGAATACCCGTCTAGACTACACATGGTCAAAAATTATAGGTTCACAAAGATGTTACTGATAGCTCAGGGGGTGTTGCATGCGGCTATGGTTGGGAGCGCAGCGCGTCGAGCGGCGGCTTGTCCATCCAGCGGAAGCGGCAGCCGCTCTCCTCCAGGTCGGCCACGAGGTGCGCGGAGATGAGGGGGCGCCACGACTGCAGCAGCTTCACCTTCTTCAGCCCCACGCACGTGTTGAGCGCCGCCTCCAGCCCGCGCATGGAGAGGTGCGTGCAGTGCACGAGGTTGAACTTGGTCATGCACGCCATGCCCGCCAGCGCCGCCAGCCCTGCGTCCGATATGCGCGTGTACGACAAATTCGCCTGGGGGGGCGGGGGGGGTGAGGAAGGGGCAGATAGGGTCGGATGAGGGGTTGTGAGGGGAACCGAAGAGCCAGCTTGTATGCCAGGAAATGACGGAGAGGTGCGAGGGAGGGGCGCGGAGCACTGACTTGTCTGAGGTCGATGCAGCCCTTAGCAAGGGCGATGAAGCCGTGGTCGTCCACGCCGCTGCACTGCTTCACATCCACCTCCAGCAGCTCCCGACACCCCGCCACCCGCCCCTCACCCTCCCCACCCTCCACCTGCCCGCTCCCCTCAGCGCCACACGCAAGCTGAGGCGCCTGAGAGACGTCCAGCTGGCCGGCAATGGCCATGAGCCCCCTGCTGGTGACGTGGGGCGCGTCGCGCACCTCCAGGTTGCGCAGGCACGGGCAGTGGCGCCCAATGGCAATGAGCGCGGCGTCGCGGATGCGCTGGCAGTAGGACAGGTTCAGCGTGAGCAGCTGCGGGCAGCTGCGCGCCACCGCTGCTATGCCGGTGCACGACACGCCCTCACAGCTGACAGGGCGGGCAGGAGGGGTGGCGGGACGCATGGGTTGACATGGCATGTGTGACCGCTGGCGGTGTGATCTGACAGCAGGTCGGCCCATGCGGCATGAGGCTGTCTGAATGCGCTGACAGGGATCGCATGCTATGGTGTGGCACAGTGCAGCACGGCACGGCATGGGGCGCACCGGTAGAGGTCGAGCTCAGTGAGGGAGGAGCAGGAGGCGGCCACTGAGCGCAGGCCGGCGTCAGTGACGTCCATGTCGAAGCCAAGCTTCAAGGACTGCAGCGACGGGCAGTGCTGCAGGCCCTGCAGGGCTGGTGGGAGGCGGTGGCAGGAAGAGAGCACATGGGGAGGCCGGGAGGTCAACGAGTGGGGAGCAACGAGGAACGAGGCTGGGCATATCCGGACGAGTGTGGCTTGAGCATGCGGGTCACAGTGCCCCTCCCCATGCCGCCCATGCCCACTGCATGCCCATGCCCACTGCATGCCCCATGCCCACTGCATGCCCCATGCCCACTGCATGCCCCATGCCCACTGCATGCCCCATGCCCACTGCATGCCCCATGCCCACTGCATGCCCCATGCCCACTGCATGCCCCATGCCCACTGCATGCCCCATGCCCACTGCATGCCCCATGCGCCGTACTGCTGTCGGAGATGCCGCAGTCGGTGAGGTCCAGTGTGGTGAGCCCAGTGCAGTGCGAGAAGAGCGCCACCAGCCCCTTGTCCGACACGCCACGGCACGCCTCCATGCGCACACAGGACAGCCGGCTGCCAGGGGCCACACGCACACAGGAGGAGCGCACACACTCAGGAGGGAGGGCACGCACACAGGAGGGAGGGCACCCACACAGGAGGGAGGGCACGCACACAGGAGGGAGGGCACACACACAGGAGGGAGGGCACGCACACAGGAGGGAGGGCACACACACAGGAGGGAGGGCACGCACACAGGAGGGAGGGCACCCACACAGGAGGGAGGGCACACACACAGGAGGGAGGGCACGCACACGGGAGGGAGGGCACACACACAGGAGGGAGGGCACGCACACAGGAGGGAGGGCACACACACAGGAGGGAGGGCACCCACACAGGAGGGAGGGCACCCACACAGGAGGGAGGGCACGCACACAGGAGGGAGGGCACCCACACAGGAGGGAGGGCACGCACACAGGAGGGAGGGCACCCACACAGGAGGGAGGGCACGCACACAGGAGGGAGGGCACCCACACAGGAGGGAGGGCACGCACACAGGAGGGAGGGCACACACACAGGAGGGAGGGCACGCACACAGGAGGGAGGGCACCCACACAGGAGGGAGGGCACACACACACAGGAGGGAGGGCACGCACACAGGAGGGAGGGCACCCACACAGGACGGAGGGCACGCACACAGGAGGAGCGCACGCACGCTTTGGCTACATGTTTGGCTTGTGGATGATTCTGCACTTTCTGCAAGCTTGCATTGGTGGAGGGGGGGAGATGCCGTGTGGATGGGCCCACTTCCTTTTCAGAGGCAGGTCAGGGCGTGAGCCCAGTGGCTCGTGGCGCGCATGGTTGGAAGGGATGGGCACAGCGCTGCAGATAGGCAGAGGCGTGAGGCACAGGGTCCGACCTGCAGTGGGCGGAGAGGGCGAGCAGCGTGGCGTCGGTGACAGCGGAGCAGCACGTGATGTCCAAGGACTGCAGTGCGGGGCTCGCAGCCGCCAGCGCTGTCAGCCCCTCGTCGCCCACGGCCTCGCAGCGCCGCAACGACACCTCCTCCAGCTGCCAGCACCCCGCCGCTGCCCACCGCACTTGCGGCACCGCCGCCTGTGCTGCACCTGGCAGGCCATGCGGCGCGGCCCTGACGGCTGCCCCACCAGGGCCGTCTGCCGTGAGACTCGCTCCCTCTGCTGCCCTTCGCCCCGCCCCCTCCACTCGTCTGTCAACGGCCGCTGAATTGGGATCTGCCGATGCTGCTGCTGCTGCTGCCACGCTGGTATGCGCCCCATCTGCCACGGCTGCAGCACCATGGGCAGTGTGAGGGGACGAGGCCCCCACGAGGTCGGTGAGGCCCGCGTCCGTGATGGGCGCCAGGTCCAGCTTCAGGCATCGCAGCGCCGCGAAGCGAGGCAGCAACGCCAACAGGTTGTCGCTCACCTGGTGGGCAGTGGTGTTGGGGGGGGAGGAGGGGGATGAAAGCGAGGAACGAGAGTGGGAGTGATGGGGCACATGCTAGAGCGAGCAGTCAAGTATGTTCGCAAGTACCCAAGGTTGCTACAACAAAATCACAATCTGCAGATTTAATTTGCAGTTACAGCATGACCTGGGGGCACTAGGCGCTGACCTGGGGGCACTACGCGCTGACCTGGGGGCACTAGGCACTGACCTGGGGGCACTAGGCGCTGACCTGGGGGCACTAGGCGCTGACCTGGGGGCACTAGGCGCTGACCTGGGGGCACTAGGCGCTGACCTGGGGGCACTAGGCGCTGACCTGGGGGCACTAGGCGCTGACCTGGGGGCACCAGGCGCTGACCTGGGAGCAGAAGGCGGCGGTGAGGGAGGAGAGGGGGATGGCGCTGGCAGTGAGCGCCATGAGGCCCACGTCTGTCACCTGCTCGCACCCCGACACGTCCAGACTCTGCACCACACACACGCAAGGGTCGGGGGGGGGGGTGTGGGGTGGGGGGGGGAAGAGAGTTCTATTCAAATGAGCTCCAACAGATTATTAGCTGCAACGGAAATCAGCTAAGCAGTTCTGGCGTGAGTGGTAGGCACCTGCAGCGCGGTGCAGCCATGGCGGAGCGCGGCGATGGCTGGGTCGTCGAGGAACTGGCAGCTGGCGAGCGTCAGACGCGCGAGGCTCGGGTGGCGCTGCACCACGCGCATTGCCGCCTCCGTCACCTGCGAGCACGGGGGAGGGGAGGGGGGGAGAAACGGAGGCGACGACGTGCGAGAGAGAGGGGGAGAGGGGCACGCAGTGGAACGGAGGAAGGCGGCATGACCGGTCGAGTGCACCTCGGTGTATGAGAGGTGGAGCGTGCGCCGTGCCTTGGTGTATGAGAGGTGGAGCGTGCGCCGTGCCTTGGTGTATGAGAGGTGGAGCGTGCGCCGTGCCTTGGTGTATGAGAGGTGGAGCGTGCGCCGTGCCTTGGTGTATGAGAGGTGGAGCGTGCGCCGTGCCTTGGTGTATGAGAGGTCGAGCGTGTGGATGGCGTGGCAGTTAGTGAGCAGCATGTCGACGCCGCGGTCGCTGACGCCCACGCACCACTTGAGCGACACCTCCTCCATCTCCTTGCACCCCGCCGCCACGCAGCACAGCCCCATGTCTGTCACCACCCGGCAGTTCGCCAGCCCCAACACCTGCACTCCCTCACGCCAACACGCCACGCCAGGCCATGCCATACCATGCCATACCATGCCATACCATGCCGTGCAATGCGGTGAATGGATACCATGTCCCCGACATGCCACCACGAGCTCACGTGCTGCAAGAAAGCATCGCATTACCCAATGCCTTATGACGTGCCCTCGCCAGTGCCGCGCGAGTCATCCTACACCGCCCTCCCCCTCCCATCCGCCACGCGCACTCAAGGGCGGAGGGGTGAGCATACCTTGAGTCGGTGGCAGGACGCGATGGGCATGAGGGCAGCATCGTCGAAGGTTCCGTTGGTGAGCCAGAGCGCCTGCAGCTGCGAGCAATGCGCGCCGATGGCCTGCAGCGCCGCCAGCCCGATGCGCTTGTTGCTCGCCAGGTTCAGCCGCAGCAGGTTCGGCCCGAACCTCTCCGCAATGGCCACCACGTGCTCGTCGCGGACCTGCGAGAACGCCACGTGGCAGGCCGATCGTTAGGGCTTCGGGATACCGCGACGAACCCGACAGGGATCACGGCGCATGACGCGCGCAGTGGTTGGGCTGTTGGAAGGTGTGGCACTGGGATGCCACACCTGGGCGTGGGAATACGATGAGGCGGGCGACAGCTCATGCAACAACGGTCGCGTCGACAATGAGGAATGCGCGCTCAGGTGCCAGGGCAAGCGACACGACAGAGACTGCTCGAGATGCAGTCAAGGCACGGCGTTGAGGGAACGACACGTGTCGTACTCGGATGCATTTGGAGCAGTTGAGATCCTGGATCAACGGACAGCAGGCGAGGATGGCTTTGAGCGCGCCCACGTGCAGCATGGTGCAGCGCATGTACGCCCCGCGGATCACCGCGAGCCACCGCTTGCACACCAGCGCCGCCGCCAGCTTGTCGGCGCGGCGGTCGAGGCGCCGCAGCACGCCGAACAGCAGATCGTCCTCCAGCCGCCCCAGCTCGCCCCGCCCCGCCGGCGAACGCCGCCCGCCGTCCATTGCGCTGTGAGAGGGCGAGACGGCGGTAGAAGAGGTGATTGTGGGGAAGGCGTATGGCGTATGTGCGAACCGCAGATCGTACGACCTGGAAGGGACAGAAGAGACCGCGACGAGGTATTATTCGTGAGTGAAGGAAGGGTGGGGAGGGGAAGGTACATTTGACTTGGCGATGTACCGCCGATCACATGGAAGATTCACGCACAGCATTTAGCAAATTTCCCTTTTGAAATATCGAGTTGAGACTGACTTTGTAACTTCATTTCGCCGCACAAGTTCCGCATCGTATTCGCCTACGAGAGGTCTGGTAACTTGGAGAAGGACATCGCGAGTGTTCGTGGCTGGACAGAGACCGATGAGTCAATAATGTGTCGGGGCACGAATTCTGTGTCTGGGATGATATGCGCACCGTGAATCCGTGATCCGCGCCACCCCACACTCCACGCGAGGCACGCGACACGGCGCTAGTGAGCCGGTTTCGGCAGGCTTCAAGCTTTACTAGTTACCAGCCATCTTCTCGGCTTAGCCGCTTAGCCTAACCACATAGCCCAGGCTCGCTTTCCCGTACTACCAGGCCGGTCAGCCGGTCTCGCGACTACCAGGTCTCGTGCCCGATCGCGCGCGCCCCACTGCCCGCGCAGCAGCGGGTCGAGGCCGCACGCGATTCATCCGACTCGCCCCCCTCATGGCCCGCTCTCGCCGCTAGCGTATCGCGCCGCAACTAGCGGCGACTGCGGGAGCGGCGGTGAAAGGGGCGATGGCGGAGCCCATGGCGGAGGCGGACTGGCGGGCGCTGCTGGAGGCGGCGTGCGCGGATGAGCGGCGTGGCGGGGAGCAGGAGGCGGCGCGGAGGCAGCTGCAGGCGCTGGTGCGCGGGGAGCAGGTGGCGCTGAGCGACGTGGTGGGCGGCATGGGCGACTTCCTCACCGCGCCCGACCACGCGCTCAGAGCGCGAGGTAACGCCACCAGGGCCGGCTGCCCCGCCCCCCCGCACTCGCGTCGCATCCACGCGCCTTCACCCTTCCCCCCCGGCCACCGCTGCGCCATCATCCTCCTTCTCACCTGCCATCGCCCCTCCCCGCACATCCCCCCTTCCCCTCCCTCCCTGCTCTCGCCCCCCCCAGGCACGGCGGTGCTGGCGTCGCTGGTGGACGCCATGGTGGTCGCGCCGCTGCCGCCACTCACGCTCAGCACTCTCGCTCAGTTCTTCTCCCACCGCATGGTACGACCCTCCACCGCATGGTATGACCCTCCACCGCATGGTAGTTCTCTCCTCCCGCTGTCCAGCGTGATGACGGCCCCCACGTGCTCACTAGAGTGCGTCCATCTCAGCCCAGCTGCCCCGTCCTCATCACACCACTCCTCCAACCCGCTCCTCATCTTCCCTCCCTCTGCCCTCCTTTCCCGTCCCATCTTTTCCCCCCGTCCCATCTTTTCCCCCCGTCCCATCTTTTCCCCCCGTCCCATCTTTTCCCCCCGTCCCATCTTTTCCCCCCGTCCCATCTTTTCCCCCCGTCCCATCTTTTCCCCCCGTCCCATCTTTTCCCCCACACAAGGCTGACTGGCCGTGTGTGCGGGGGGCGCTGAGGGGGGGGCTGGCGCTAGTGCAAAGGGGGGAGGGGGTGGGGGCAGTGGCGGAGGGGGACGCAGGGAGGATGGCAGCGGCGGTGGTGGGGGTGCAGGTGCAGGCACTGGCACAGGCCGACAGAACGGTGAGGGGGGTGCGGGTGGTGGGGGCATGGATGGTGGGAGCATGGATGTTGGGAGCATGGGTGGTGGGAGCATGGATGTTGGGAGCATGGGTGGTGGGAGCATGGATGTTGGGTTGGGAGCATGGATGGTGGGAGCATGGGTGGTGGGAGCATGGATGGTGGGAGCATGGATGGTGGGAGCATGGATGGTGGGAGCATGGATGGTGGGGGCATGGATGTTGGGAGCATGGGTGGTGGGAGCATGGATGGTGGGAGCATGGATGGTGGGAGCATGGATGGTGGGAGCATGGATGTTGGGAGCATGGGTGGTGGGAGCATGGATGTTGGGAGCATGGGTGGTGGGAGCATGGATGTTGGGTTGGGAGCATGGATGGTGGGAGCATGGGTGGTGGGAGCATGGATGGTGGGAGCATGGATGGTGGGAGCATGGATGGTGGGAGCATGGATGGTGGGGGCATGGATGTTGGGAGCATGGGTGGTGGGAGCATGGATGGTGGGAGCATGGATGGTGGGAGCATGGATGGTGGGAGCATGGATGTTGGGAGCATGGGTGGTGGGAGCATGGATGTTGGGAGCATGGGTGGTGGGAGCATGGATGTTGGGTTGGGAGCATGGATGGTGGGAGCATGGGTGGTGGGAGCATGGATGGTGGGAGCATGGATGGTGGGAGCATGGATGGTGGGAGCATGGATGGTGGGGGCATGGATGGTGGGAGCATGGGTGGTGGGAGCATGGATGGTGGGAGCATGAATGGTGGGGGCATGGATGGTGGGGGAATGGATGTTGGGAGCATGGGTGGTGGGGGCATGGATGGTGGGAGCACGGGTGGTGGGAGCATGGATGGTGGGAGCATGGATGGTGGGGGCATGGATGTTGGGAGCATGGGTGGTGGGAGCATGGATGGTGGGAGCATGGATGGTGGGAGCATGGATGGTGGGAGCATGGATGGTGGGAGCATGGATGGTGGGAGCATGGATGGTGGGAGCATGGATGGTGGGAGCATGGGGAGATGATGGTCATTGTGTGGGGGCGGGGCGCTGGTGTTCTGATGGCATTGCTTGCAAGCTCCCGTGCTGCTGCTGCCACCCTCTCCCCGTGTGCCCGCCACGTCACTCTCCTCCGTGCCATCCCCTCTGCCCTCACCGCTGTCTGCCTCTGCGCTACTGCCCCCCCCCTTCCTCCCCCCCCCTCCAGCTCGCCCTGCGTTTGCTGCTCGCCCTCTTGGAGTGTCACATTGCCGCCTCGCCTCCTGGCAAGGCGGGGGCAGCCGCGGGCGTGGAGGGAGGGGCGGGGTGGGCGGGGCTGGCGGGGGGCGTGGTGGCTACAGTGGACGGGGAAAAGGACCCGCGCTGCCTGCTGCTGGCGCTGCGCATCGTGGCGCTGCTGGTGGCAGCGCTGCACCGCGAGGGCGGCAGGGCAGCTGTGAGCGGCGTGGCGGAGGACCTCTTCGACGTCGTGGCGGCCTACTTCCCCGTGTCCTTCAACCCCGTGAGCCATGCCTCTCCGTCACACGCCATCCTATCTCAACCAGCGCACACCAGCTTTTATCTGTGTGTGATAAGTGGTAGTGCATTAAGCAGCTCTGCGCAGCCGCACCATGCATGATGTGAATGCACCGTTTGACTTGTGCTCCATGCATGATGTGAATGCACCGTTTGACTTGTGCTCCATGCATGATGTGAATGCACCGTTTGACTTGTGCTCCATGCATGATGTGAATGCACCGTTTGACTTGTGCTCCATGCATGATGTGAATGCACCATTTGACTTGTGCTCCATGCATGATGTGAATGCACCGTTTGACTTGTGCTCCATGCATGATGTGAATACACCGTTTGACTTGTGCTCCATGCATGATGTGAATGCACCGTTTGACTTGTGCTCCATGCATGATGTGAATGCACCGTTTGACTTGTGCTCCATGCATGATGTGAATGCACCGTTTGACTTGTGCTCCATGCATGATGTGAATGCACCGTTTGACTTGTGCTCCATGCATGATGTGAATGCACCGTTTGACTTGTGCTCCATGCATGATGTGAATGCACCGTTTGACTTGTGCTCCATGCATGATGTGAATGCACCGTTTGACTTGTGCTCCATGCATGATGTGAATGCACCGTTTGACTTGTGCTCCATGCATGATGTGAATGCACCGTTTGACTTGTGCTCCATGCATGATGTGAATGCACCGTTTGACTTGTGCTCCATGCATGATGTGAATGCACCGTTTGACTTGTGCTCCATGCATGATGTGAATGCACCGTTTGACTTGTGCTCCATGCATGATGTGAATGCACCGTTTGACTTGTGCTCCATGCCCCCTCACCGCCCTCCTACCATCCATCCATGCCGTGTCATCATGCCTCTTCCCCCCCTGCAGCCGCCCAACGACCCGCGGGGAATCACCCGAGAGGACCTCGTTCAGGCGCTGCTGGTGAGCCGCATGCTCTTGTGGGCCAGGCAGCCTTGCTGTTTCTGGCCCTCCTGCCACCCCCGCTCACCACCCGTTATCCATGACGTGTGACTTTGACTTGTGTAACGGCGGCCTCCCTTGCACCTGCTCATGTCCTCCCTGCCCTTCCTCCCATCCACCTACCCGCCCGTCTGCAGGGTGCGTTTTCCAGCACGCCTGAGTTTGCTCCCATGGCCCTCCCTCTGCTGCTCGACAAGCTCGCCTCGTCCTTCCCCACCGCCAAGGTGGGGCGCATCCCCTTTTACAGCACCCCAACCCTGTTTCTAGTATCTCAACGTATCTCCCCACCTGCCCTCCTTCTCCTCACCCTCCCTCCCTTACTCGCATCCTCTCCACTATACTCTCCCCCACCCACCCCCCCTTCCCCAGCTCGACTCCCTTCGCTTCCTCGCTGCCTGTGCCTCCTCCTGGGGTCCCCACCCCATCGCCCCCCATGCCTCCGCCATCTGGCAAGCCCTCAAATCTAGCCTCCCCACGCTGCACCCTCCAGCACCGCACACCACCTCTTCCCCCTCCCCCCTCGGGAGTGACTCCAAGGTATCATCTGCCGCCCTGCAGTGTCTGTTGGCGTGTGTGCGTGCCACACAGCCTTGCAGTGCGGATTCCATGGGGGGTGTGCCCGCGCGCCCCTCGCTGCTGGACGTGCTTCTCAAGGACGACGCTGTGCGCAGCGTGGGAGGGCTCATTCCGTGGGGCGGGCAGCAGGCCACACAGGGGATTGGAGAGAGAGGGGAGGAATCTGGGAAGGAGAGGGGGGAGGTGGGTAATGGTGGGGATGCATATGGGGTAGGTGCGTCTGGTGGTGACATGGCAGGGGTGTCAGGGCGAGTGAAGGGCACGGCTGACCTGCTCGCCTCTGTGGCCCGCGTGTCCCCCTCTGCCTCCGCTGCTGTCTCTGCCTCCCTCCTCCCGCCCCTAATGCGCCTGCTGCTGCCCCCACCCGCTCAGGGTCCAAGGGGGGGGGCCTCTGGTGCGGGAGGCAGGGAGGGTGAGCGGAGGGAAGGGAGGGGAAGAGTGGGGAGCGAAGGTGGGGCGGAGAGTAGTGGGGAGCTGAGGGGAGGGGATGGAGGAGAGGGTATGGAGTGGAGGGAGGAGGGGAGTCGTGGGAGCAGTGGCGAGGGGGAAGACGGCGAGGTGTGCAGAGCGGTGCAGAGGGAGCTAGTGCATCCACGTGGCATGATGGCATTGGATGTGATTGTGAGCCTTATCCGAGCTGCAAGGGACGTGGCGCAACAAGATTGGGAGAGTGAGGGAGGGGACGGGAAGGAAGGGAGAGAAGGAGGGGGGGAGGGAAGAACAGGGGAGGGGAGAGGGCCAAGGAGCGTCAAAGGAGGGAGGGGCGTGATGAGGCCGGGGATGGTGGGGTGGGGTGCGAGGGCGGATGTGACTGTGGTGGCTGAGAGAGAGCGGCTGGTGCTGCTGTTCCGCTCGGCGCTCGCCCTGGCGGTGCCTCAAGGCAGCCACAGCGGGGAGGGGGGGCAGCAGAGCAACACCGGGCCGAGTGAGCACAGAAGCTCAGGCCGGCATGAGGAAGCAGCAGAGCTTGGCGGTGAGTGGCCGCCTCGCCGGTGCCTGCTGTTGCGGTATCTCCTGCTGCGTGACTGTTTTCCAACCTTATCTCGCCCTCACCTCTTTGTTTCTCCTCTCCTTCACCTTCACCTGCCTCTTCCCCTGCCACCTCTCAACCGCTGCCTCGTTCCCTCCACCACTGCTTCACTCTGCCTCTCACCACCGCTCCTCTTCCACTCCCTTCCCTACCCCCCCTCCTTCCCGCAGTGGCTGGGCTGGAGTGCCTGTTGTCCTTCCCCCGCCCGTCTCCCCTGTCTCGCCGTCGCTCCTCTCTCAGCTCGCTGCCTGCCTCACACACGCCCTCATCCACCTGCCGGCCCCCCATGCCCGCCATGCCACCACCGCTCCCCCTTCTACTGCACACGCCACGGCGCCGCACCAGCCCAGCAAGCCCGGCACCACCCCCCCTGCACCCTCCTGCGCCACCCCAAGTGCCCCCGCCAGCTCACCTGTGCAGCCGCCAGAGCCCCTCCCCCCGCCCGCCATCCCCCCCTTCGCCCGCTCCCTCGTGCGCGCCCTCGCCTGCCTTGCCAGGGCTGAGGGCGGGTGGGCGGGCGCATGGAGGGGAGAGGAGAGAGAAGAAGAGGGGGGGTTAGCAGGAGGTGGCAGTGGATGGCAGGAGGGCGGTGTGAGTGTGAGCGAGGTGGTGTTGCCGCTGCTGTCCGTGCTGGGGGACAAGCTCGTCATTGGCCGCCATAGCGCCGAGGCACAGCCACCAGGGCAGCAGGCAGAGGAGCGAGGCGGTGGGGAGGCGGAAAAAGGGGGAGGTGCAGCGGGCGGGGGGCGAGTGAGGGTGGGGGTGTGGGCGGAGGCGCTGGCCGGCGTGGCAGGGGAGCTGGCAGCAGCGAGGGACTTGGCGCTGCCCGCCCTCACTGGCCTGGCCCTCCGAGGCTGCGCCGCCCAGCCCATCGTAACGCCCTCGCCACGCCTGCCTCTCTCTCATTGATTTCCGGGGCTTGGAATGTATCTGGCCGCTTGGGATCGCTGTGTGCTTGTCCTGTTGGGTCGTGATGCATGCGCCGCTTCAATCTCATGTTTGCTCTCCTCGTCTCATGTTTGCTCTCCTCGTCTCATGTTTGCTCTCCTCGTCTCATGTTTGCTCTCCTCATCTCATGTTTGCTCTCCTCGTCTCATGTTTGCTCTCCTCATCTCATGTTTGCTCTCCTCGTCTCATGTTTGCTCTCCTCATCTCATGTTTGCTCTCCTCGTCTCATGTTTGCTCTCCTCATCTCATGTTTGCTCTCCTCGTCTCATGTTTGCTCTCCTCATCTCATGTTTGCTCTCCTCGTCTCATGTTTGCTCTCCTCATCTCATGTTTGCTCTCCTCGTCTCATGTTTGCTCTCCTCATCTCATGTTTGCTCTCCTCGTCTCATGTTTGCTCTCCTCATCTCATGTTTGCTCTCCTCGTCTCATGTTTGCTCTCCTCATCTCATGTTTGCTCTCCTCGTCTCATGTTTGCTCTCCTCATCTCATGTTTGCTCTCCTCGTCTCATGTTTGCTCTCCTCATCTCATGTTTGCTCTCCTCGTCTCATGTTTGCTCTCCTCATCTCATGTTTGCTCTCCTCGTCTCATGTTTGCTCTCCTCATCTCATGTTTGCTCTCCTCGTCTCATGTTTGCTCTCCTCATCTCATGTTTGCTCTCCTCGTCTCATGTTTGCTCTCCTCATCTCATGTTTGCTCTCCTCGTCTCATGTTTGCTCTCCTCGTCTCGTCTCCGGCTTTGCATGCGCCTGCTCAGTCGGTGGCAATCGCCTGCCCTCACACCCTCTTTCAGATCTGCTCCTCCCCTTCGCCCTCCTCATCTCCCCCCTTCCACATTCGTGCAGCCGAGCTGTCGGCAAGAGGCAATCATCACGGTGCTTCACGTTGTCTCCACTCGCCTCCTTCCCATGTGAGGCCTCCCCCTCCCACCCTCCTCAATCTCACTCACACACCTCTTTCGCTTCCAGCTTTTGTCGTCTTCCCCAACATGTCACACGCCTCTGTTGGTTTGCCTTCCATGTGCCATCTGCTGCGCGACACACCATGCCGCCTCCTTCACTCGTGCTCTCTCCATGGCCACATCACCCCATCCCCCATCATCCATCACCCACCCCCCGTCACCCGTGCCATCAGGTGTGACGGTGCGCGTCCCTCCGACTCCAAGTTTCTGCGCGACCACGCCGCCGCTCTTGTCCGTGTCTTTGCCAGCCCCCCCTCGTCGCCCAGCCCCCCCTCAACCTCCTCCTCCCGTCCTTCCTCCACCCCTCCAGCCCCTGTTGCCGGTCACCTACTGGCAGCAGCATGTGCATCAGTCACTGCTGCCACCCACCGCTGCTCCCATGCCGCCCAGCTCTCCCTCCTCTCCTCCCTCGACTGCTACCTTCGCCCCCTCACCACCACCTCCTCCTCCTTCTCCTCCGCGCCCCCTTCATCCACACCCCCCACACCCGCTCCTCTCCCCTCCCCCCCCCTGTGCGCACCCAAGAGGCGCTGAACCGCCTGGCTGCAGCGTTGGTGGTGGGCCTGCGACCCTCACTGCTCTGCGCAGACCCGACTCACGCCTCGCACTCCGCAGCCCAGGGAAGAGGGGAGCAGCAGGCAGGCGAGCAGGGGAAGAACGAGGAGGACGGCAAGGCAGCGGATCTGGACCCCGTGTGCCTGCTGCAAGGCCTCTTGCGCCACCTCTCCCTGCTTGCCACGTCACCACCCGCTCTCGTGTCTGCTGAGTCAGCAGAGGCTGCCAGCGTGGCAGTGGCGTCGCTGGTCAACAAGTGGCCCAAGGACAGCGGAAAGGTTCCCGGAAGCACCACCGTGGTGATGTCGGTGGACGAGGTGCTGCAGGTGGTGCTGGGGGCGCGCTGGGGGGGGAGGCAGGGGGGAGGCAGGGGAGGTGGAGGTGGAGAGGGAGGGGAGGGGTGGAGGGAGGGGGGGAGGTGACGATTGAAGGGTGGGAGGGAGAAGAGGGGTGAGGAGGCTGCGGCTGGTGGCGTGGGTGGGGAGGGCGGCGGCGATGCGGGGCATGAGAGCATGGCGCGGGTGGCGCATGCGCTGCTGCACGCTGCCATGGGTGCTGGGGCACAGGGGAAGGAGGTGGGGAGAGGTTTGGACAGGGAGGATGGTGGAGGGGCCACGGAGGGGGGAAGTGAGGCAGCAGTGAGTGCGGTGGGGGTGGCGGCAGCGGAGGGGTTTGGCGTGATAATGGGGGAGGGGGGGACTGCCTGACCCCTGCGTGTCACTGCGTGTGCCGCCCGCTGTACAAGCAGCGCTTCCTCAGCGCCTTCCTGCCTGCCCTCTCCTCCACGCTGCGCCACATGCCACCTGCCCCGCCCTCTCATGCTAGGTACGCCGGTCTGCCATCGCTCTGTCTCATCCTGTCCGTTCCGTTGCATCTTACTCGGAAACCTATTCTACTGCCCACAAATGCTTTCCACGGGTCGAGCTTTTTCCACAGGCATGGACGGCGTCCTTCCTTCTCTTCCCCACAAAGCGCTCTTGCTTCTAATTCCCCCTTTATGGCTCCTGCTCCCCCTTTCCTTCTTGCTTTCTCCCCCCCCTCTTTCCCCCTCCCCCCAGGGCCCAATGTCTGCGTGCCTTCACTCACACCGTGGCCCACGCCCCTCCTGCCGCCCTTCTCCTCTCCGCTCCCCAGGTGCACGCTTCCGCACGTCAATTCCCCATGCTCCCCCCGTGGCTCCTCCTCTCTTTGACCCCTTGTCGCACGCACTGCACCACTGCCCTGCCTGCTGTTCTTATCACCACTGCAATTCAAGTCCACCCTCGGGCCCCTCTCGCTACTCTGCCTTCCATCCCTTTCAAGCTTCCCCTACACGCCCCTCCCATCTCCCCCCACCAGGTGCTCCCGCTGCTGCTGTCCGCCCTCTCGTCCCTGTCCCACGACCGCATCGACTCCTCCCGCCTGCACGCGCTGCTGCTCCTGCTCGGCTCCTTTCGCCACCACCCCAGGCACAGGTGCGCGCTGGGCATGACACCAGACACATTGTGGGTGTGGGGCGCCATGACACATGGCAGGCTTCCGCATGCATCACACGAGATAGCACGAGGGTAGACGTCAATGCCTTCATCGGCTCTCCTTGTCCGCCGACTCACTGCGCTTCCACTCCGCGCCCCACCACCCCTTGTGCATGCCTCTCCCCTCTTCCCCACCACCCCTTGTGCATGCCTCTCCCCTCTTCCCCACCACCCCTGTGCATGCCTCTCCCCTCTTCCCACCACCCCTTGTGCATGCCTCTCCCTCTTCCCCACCACCCCTTGTGCATGCCTCTCCCCTCTTCCCCACCACCCCTTGTGCATGCCTCTCCCCTCTTCCCCACCACCCCTTGTGCATGCCTCTTCCCCTCTTCCCCACCACCCCTTGTGCATGCCTCTCCCCTCTTCCCCACCACCCCTTGTGCATGCCTCTCCCCTCTTCCCCACCACCCCTTGTGCATGCCTCTCCCCTCTTCCCCACCCGCCACCAGCCCGTGACCTGTGTGGGCAGCACCTCACCAGCATCACCACCAACCTCCTTGCCCTCGCCGCCTATCCGCATGCCATGGTGTGTTGCCATGCCAGTGCATCGTGTGCTACCTGCACCCATGCCATGCTGTGCCGGCCAGTCCCATGCCATGCTGTGCCGGCCAGTCCCATGCCATGCTGTGCCGGCCAGTCCCATGCCATGCCTGTGCCGGCCAGTCCCATGCCATGCTGTGCCGGCCAGTCCCATGCCATGCTGTGCCGGCCAGTCCCATGCCATGCTGTGCCGGCCAGTCCCATGCCATGCTGTGCCGCCCAGTCCCATGCCATGCTGTGCCGGCCAGTCCCATGCCATGCTGTGCCGGCCAGTCCCATGCCATGCTGTGCCGGCCAGTCCCATGCCATGCTGTGCCGGCCAGTCCCATGCCATGCTGTGCCGGCCATCCCATGCCATGCTGTGCCGGCCAGTCCCATGCCATGCTGTGCCGGGTCCATGCATTGTTCCCCATCCATGCCATGCGTGCTGCCTTCCCTCGCCCTGCCCTCTCGCCCAGGCTGCAAGAGCCTCCTCCATCCACTTCTCCCCGCCTCACTGCTCGCCTCCACACACCGCCCTGTCCACGCGGCATCGTTTCCCCGGCCCGTTCCTTCAGCTCCCCTTGGCCCCCACATCCCCCCTCCCCCCTGCCATTGGCGTGGCAGGAGGTGCGGGAGACGGCAGTGGAGTGCGTCACAGCTCTGGCGGGCCTGCCGCACACTCAAGTGTTCCCGCACACGAAGAAGGTGCTGGGGGAAGGACGGGTGGTGGGGGGCGGGTGAGGGGGGTGGGGTGTGAAGCATGCGTGGCATGGTGGGAATAGATGCACAGGGACAGAGAGGGATGCAAAAGGCATTGGAGAGCTTCTCATGTGAGGACGCGCCTACGCTTTGAGAGCCCCTGTAGGCTGCTGAGTATGCGTGTGCCTCGCTGCAGTTGATCTGATGCCGCTGCTGCCATGCTCCATGTCCCCACCGCCCCTGCAGGTGCTAAGAGCAATGGACGCACGTCTCGATGATCCCAAGCGGGCTGTGCGCCGCGCTGCCGTCATGTGCAAAACCACGTGGTGCGTTGCGTGAGTCGCTGCCTTCTTGCTCAAGTGTGTGGGTGCTCGAGTTCATGCTCCATCCGATTTGCTTTGTTCCGCTGTTCATTCAAGTCGCCCCCTCTGTGCCCCTGTGCGGCATGTCTCATTCAAGTCGCCCCCCTCTGTGCCCCTGTGCGGCATGTCTCATTCAAGTCGCCCCCTCTGTGCCCCTGTGCGGCATGTCTCATTCAAGTCGCCCCCTCTGTGCCCCTGTGCGGCATGTCTCATTCAAGTCGCCCCCTCTGTGCCCCTGTGCGGCATGTCTCATTCAAGTCGCCCCCTCTGTGCCCCTGTGCGGCATGTCTCATTCAAGTCGCCCCCTCTGTGCCCCTGTGCGGCATGTCTCATTCGACCGTGCAGGTCGGGGTTTGAGATGACAGTCAACGTGATTCTTTGTGGATGCGTGGTTGCATCCGCTCGCTCCACAAGGGCGTTCTTTTGCCAAACAAATGGGGGGCATGATTGTTTTTTTGTTTGGATTTTATGTTCTTAAACCGTGCCAACGTAGCAGTAGCATTTCTTTAGTTATGGCGTCGTGTAGGTATCTCTGCAAAGGCGTATATGCAAGAGTAAGGCTCAGCCACTCATGTGGTTGAGCAGAACCATTCGGCTGCTTCCCCCAACGAGCGCGATTCACGCCGTCCCCTCGCTCGCCATTTCCGTCGCTGCCATCGTCAAGCAGATCAGCCGCCTCGCGCAATTCACTCCTCGGCCGCGCGCTGGGCCGTGCCGCTCTCACCGCCATCATATCGCGCTCTGACTGGTTGGTGCCGACAGCAGCATGACGGAGGGCCTCCCCCCGCCGCCCAACGCCGGTGGATCCGTCAGCGGCGGCGGCGGCGGGGGGCGGCGGCGCTGGAGGCGGAGCTGCTGGACGTGCTCGACGACAAGGGCCAGCCCACGGGGACGCGCTGCCGCGGTGAGACCTGCTCCGCGCGCCGCCACGTGACGCGCGTTTTTCTGTTCGCTTGGGCGATCCCCCTCTGCCCATTCGTCCCCCATGGCATCTCGCCTTCGCGCTTCCCACCCGCCGCTCCCTTCCTTCCTTCCCGATCCCCAAACCTCCCCCCCTCCCCCTTCGCCCCCGCAGCGGCGAGGTGCACAGGCGCGGGCTGTGGCACCGCGCGGTGCACACGTGGGTGTTCGCGGAGAGCGGCGCGCAGCTGCTGCTGCAGCGGCGGGCGAGGGACAAGGAGTCGTGGGCCGACATGTGGGACGTGTCCAGCGCGGGCCACGTCACCACCGGCTGCTCATCGCTGCACACCGCCGTGTGCGTGCTGCCGCCGCTCACATGCCCGCTGCCGTTTTCCGTGCCCCAAGGCGTCCCCTGGTCCTCTCGCACGGCCATGGCGGTGCACGCATCGCCCTGACCTTCTCACCCTCCCATGCCCCTCCTCCCCCCTGAACCCGGTCCCTACCATCCCTGCTCCCTCCACTCCTTCTTGCCATCCGTCCCCCGTGCCCGCGCATTGCCCTCACCCCTGTCTTCCTCCCCTCTCCCTCCCTCCCCCTCCTTCCCCCCCTCTCTCCCCGGCAGGCGGGAGATGGAGGAGGAGTTGGGCATCTGTCTGCCCCGCCGCCGCCTTCCAGCTGCTCTTCCAAGACACCTTCCAGTCGTCAGTGCCGCCCTGCCCCGCACTCTCTGCACCCCATGCGCCACCTTGTCTTGTCCCACTCTGTGCTGTTCCTCTGTGCTTGCTTCCTCTGTGCTTTGTTTCTGCTCCAGTGCCGTCCAATCACTCCACCCACCCACGCACCCATGCAGTCCCACTCATCCCATGCAGTGCCACTCATCCCATGCAGTGCCACTCATCCCATGCAGTCCCACTCATCCCATGCAGTGCCACTCATCCCATGCAGTGCCACTCATCCCATGCAGTCCCACTCATCCCATGCAGTCCCACTCGTAGCCCTCCTCTCCAGTGAATGGGTGCTGACCTCCTGTGCGAGCCACTCCACCTTCACCCAGGTGTATTTTGAGTCGACTCAGAATACACTCCACCTTCACCCACGCAACGCCTGTTCCACCGCGCCCTGTGCGCCATGTGCGCCCTGCTCCTGTGTGCCGTGTGTCTGTACACTGTACTGCTCTGATCCATTCTGTTCCAGCATTAACCACGTTTCACATCTGCTGTGCAGAGTGCTCAAGGACGGCACTTATATAAACAACCGAGTTTAGCGACGTCTACTTAATCACAGTGCCCGAGCCCCTTCCTCTGTCAGCTTTCACCCTGCAAGTATGTGCCTCCTGTCTCCCTGCATCCCCCAATCCCCTCTCAAGCTGCCCCTTCTCCAAGGCGATTGCCCCTTCCCTTTTGCCAGCAAAGCTGCTCGTTAGCTTCCTTGCATTGCAGCAGCCATGTCACTCTGGCTTTGCCTTGCGCTTCCCTCCATGCTGCGCCCCTCCATGCTGCGCCCTTCCTTGCTTGCCCGCACGCCTGCTCCACATGGCTGCACGCCATCCATGGCCCACCCCAACCTCTCACACTTAAAGCCCCCCGAGCTTGACAACCCCCCCTACCCTGCGTGCAGGAGTCGGAGGTGGCGGAGGTGAAGTGGGTGCCGTGGCGGGAGTACGAGGCCAGTCTGCGCAATCGCGACCCGCAATACGTGCCCTTCGACGTTGAGTCGCCCAATGGCTACAAACAGCTGTTCTCACATCTCGCCAAGATATCTTTGCCATCGTAGGTGGAGACTCGGATGCAGCGTTTGTAACGGCATATATGTGCATAGGAATATGAGTTTCCAACATATTTTTATGGAAGATGTGACTTGCCTGATCATCAGAAGTAAAATGCTAGTGTAGCTATTTTGTATTATCCAACAGTCTTGCACCTTGTCCGCCAGCCCTGCTTGTAGTCGGGTCGGGAGCACATTTCTGACCGTTTCGCATCGCCTGATTCTTCTTCTGCTACTTCTGACGCCAAGCCATGGCTGCCGCCAACAGCAGCGTCACTGTGTCTGCTCCCTGCACGTCTCCTCCTCCACCGGACAATCGCCTCTCGCATCTCTCGCGGCTCCCTTGCCCGCCGCTCACCCCGCGGGCCTCTCCTCCTTGTCGTCCCTCGCCGCGTCCCGCGGCTCCTCGCGTCTGCCCGTCCCTGCCCGCTCCGCGCCGCACCAACCCCGTTCGTCTCGCTGCCGCACGGCCGTACGCGTTATGGCGAGCCAAAGTGAGCCCAGCATAGTGTGTGGCGGCGCGCTTGATCCCTTGCTCTGGCGGATCGCATCGCCATCGTCGCAACCGAGTGCCTAGCTGTTGCTCGCCCAGTCGACCGGCACATTGCCGCGATCGCCATGCCAGCGCGCGTCGTGCCGACAGCCGATCGCATTCCGCGCCATCGCGATCGCCTGCCGCGCGCCCCCCTGGCTGCCCGTCCATCTCCCGTTCCTTTGTCTCCGCACCCCCCCGCAGGCGAGAGGCGAGCGCTCATTTCTGTCTCCGATAAGACGGGACTCGATACACTCGCCAAGGGCCTGCTGGATCTCGGGTACGCGCTGGGCAGGGTGGCGGCGCCTATCGATAGCCGTCTGCTGCGGCGAGGTTTTGGGCTTTCCATTCCGACCCCATTTCACGGTTCAGGCAGCGGTGCAGCCGCGCGCCTCACCCTCTCAGCGTGCAGAAAGCTTCTCTTTCTCCCGACTGCTCCCTTCACTGATTCATAATCCCCGCCCTCCCCGCCGTCCTCCCCATTCCGCCTGCCTTAAACCCTGACCCTCCTTCCGTCTACTCGTGCGTCCGTCATCTCCCCCCGTCACCACCCCCCCGGCAGGTTCACGCTGGTGTCGACGGGCGGCACGGCGAGGGCCATCGAGGAGGCGGGGCTGCCCGTCACGAAAGTGGAACAGATCACCAACTTCCCCGAAATGGTAAGCCTGCCAAAAATAATTTCACCAAAATGGTGGCAACTTTCCAGAAACCAACTCCCCAGATTCTTCAGACAGCTTGCCTTCACCCGCCCACCCTTCCACTCACCGCCTCCCGTGCTTGCTTGCCCCGCGCCCTCTTTCTCTCTCCCGTACCCCCAACATCCGGTATCCACCGCGCACTCCCCTCCCCTCTTCCGACAATCCGACTTTCCCCTTGTTGCCGCCCTCTCTCTCTCTCTCTCTCTCTCTCTCTCTCTCTCTCTCTCTCTCTCTCTCTCTCTCTCTCTCTCTCTTCCTCCCTCCCCTCCAATCCCGTGCTGCCAGCTGGACGGCCGTGTGAAGACGCTGCATCCAGCCGTGCACGGGGGCATTCTGGCTCGGCGTGCCGTGCCCTCGCACATGGACGCGCTCGCCACGCACGGCATCGGTGCGTGTCAAGCACAAGGGCTCGACCCATGGCCCTGAACGCCATGCTCATGGGCTGTCCCATGCCATGCCATGCCATGACATGCCATGCCATGCCATCCCATGCCATGCCATGCCATGCCATGCCATCCACCAAAGCCTTGTGCCACGTCCTCCTCCCCCGCCTCCCCATGCCACTGGCCCGGTCATTGTGGCGCTGGTCAACCCGTGCCATGCCCCTGCAAGTGCCCTCTCTTCTCTCCACCACCGCTGTGCCCACAAGCATGTTCCACCCCTTCCCCCTCCCCCGCCCCCTCGGTTCTCCCAGGCCCATCGACGTGGTGGCGGTGAACCTGTACCCTTTCGTGGCCACCGTGACAGCAGCTGGCGGCACGTCGTTCGAGAATGGCGTGGAGAACATCGACATCGGCGGGCCGTCCATGATCCGCGCTGCCGCTAAGGTCGCAAGGGGGGGGAGACGGGTGCATGGGGGAGGGAGAGGGGTTTAGGGTGTTGGGGGGGAGAGGGGAGGAGAAGGTGGCGGCAGTGGGGTTTGGAGTAGAGAGGAAGGGCTTCGCATGTTGAGTCCATCCTCCTCGCACACTATCTCATACTTCCTCTGCTGCCTCTCCCCTCCCCCTGCCCCCGTGTGCCCCCCTGCAGAACCACGAGAATGTGTGGGTGGTGGTGGACCCCGCCGACTACTCACCGCTGCTCGCCGCGCTGAGAGGGGAGAAGGAGGGCGCAGAGGGCGAGGCGGACATGCGGCGGCGGCTGGAAGGCGTTTCAACACACGGCGTCGTACGACGCTGCTGTGGCGGAGTGGCTGTGGCCGCACG